TCCTCATAAATGCGAACACGGAAAATAAAATAAAGATTTTATGTTCTGGGGAGAGTCAACCCTTCTTCATCCGGTGAGTATTACTTTTGGTTTGTGCAGTGTGGTTCACATAGGCCAATCGATTAAAAGATTTAATTATCTGGGAATTATGGATCTCCTCCATAACGCTGAAATTGCCCAATTTTAAACAATTATTTAGTAATAATTTAACTAGTTTTGTGGTGTAAGTCTACGTATTTTATAATGTTAACTTAAAATAATACTAATAGTAATTTAAAGATGTGGTAGCTAGCATTGGGTCTGGACGTGAAGGATAACTTCGGGAGTTGAAGGGACGTGTCGGTGTCGTGATTCTGTCTTCTCACACCGCGACACAGGTTCGTGGATCTGAGTGTCGCAATCGTTACAGCCTTACATATATTCTTCTTGCAGATAAATATACTCACACAGCTTAGGTTAGAAGCCTCCAGTGAGTTCAACGTTTCAGGCGATAGCCGGGAAATGCTCAGAGGTGACGAGGGGAGTTGAGAAGAGCAATGTTTATTTCAGCGAATTTAAAGCTTTGACAACTTTAATCGTTATTTAAATACCTTTACTCAATTATCTGGACTACGAAACTTTGGGAGATTATTTTTGAATGTCTGTTCTTTGAAATTAGCACAAAAAAAAATGGAACGTTGCGACTTCCGACTCATTTCGCCAGAGCGGGTCACATATGAATTTTATGAAATGATGCACAATTGTATTTTAAGTTCGCTTAAAATGATTTGGGTAAATTCACATACTGATTTGAGCATGTGCAAAATTTCTCCACAACTTCACATTTCTTGATGTGTGTGTGTGTGTGTGTGTGTGTGTGTGTGTGTGTGTGTGTGTAATGTGTGGATTTTCTCTACAACTACAAATCGCACTGTCACAGGCATTAAGTTGATTTAAATCAAATATACCTCCATAATTGCTATAATCATTTTCATGACAGTGTCATGTTTAAACTCACCTCTGAAGGAATTCAAGTGTGCTTGCGACTTCTGCTGGATATTGCAAGTTAAAGACAAAGTAGGCAGCGAAGACTGCTGCCAGTCCATGCAGGAGGTTACTGTGGGGCCCCATCACACATGCTCCTTCCACGGAGATATTCCATGTGTCTGCGCCACGAAGTATCTCTTCTAAAACATTATGATAACAATATGATATGAAACATTAACAATATGATAACTAAAAGCTGCACAACACACTATTGCCACCTAGATGAATTCAGTAATGTTCAAGTGGAGAAAGACTTCCACACCACCACTTGAACATTTTTATCTCCTTTGACCCGTACACCCTCCATCAACAACTCAAATAAATTATTTTTTTATGTGCAACAGTCCTCCGTCAAACACATGAATTCAATAAAGAATTAACTTTTACAAAATAAGGGAAGATTATACCTGGGACAACTAATCGAGGTGTGCTTGGCAGGGTGACAGCTCTCTCAATATCAGCAGCCATGGCAGAGGGCTGGAGAAAAAAAAAACATTAACATTAACAAAGTTAACCATGGGT